AAACTTATATTTTTGACAACTTTAACAACCATCGTGATAGCAATAATCACATCCTAGATTTAGAGGCAGTATTATTGCTCCAGCAATCAGAATAATCCATTTGTGGCGATGCAGTTGGTCACATCCTAACGACGATAAGGTGGGATCAACGGTCACTGATTAAATGCATGTTTAGTGAAATTTATAAGAATGATTTATTATCTTCAAAAAGTACAAATTACATTAAATATTATAATTAATAAAAAAATATTATAATTTTTCATAAATTATAATTGTTTTCTTTTCATTATAAATTTTATAAATACCAAATTGATGCTTTTACATGAATTTTTTTATTTAATTTTTAATAAAATTAATATATTATTTTTATTCTTTTTATTTACAAAAATAATATTTTTATAACAATTACTTTTTAACATCACTACTATTAAAAACTCCATCTTCATCGAATCGGATGGGCACTAAATCGGTTTGATTTATTTATTTATTTATTTATTTTTGACAAGATAATAATTAAGAAATTAGTATGAGTTAATTGTTAATAATTGGTTCTAGACTATGTGAACATTTCACTCTTTCAAATGAGGCACGTAACCATCAGGTCACTTTTTGACGGAGTTCACGATGATGATAGAACTCAAAATTCTGATCACCTCATTCAAATACTTAATGTTTGGGATCCATACATTGGATAAATCGGTTTGATTATTCTGTGATACCATGGACAGGTGAGGTACAAATGGTGGGTGGTGGGTGGCGGATGACGGAAGGTAAGATGGGTACAAGGTAGGCCTATCAGATCAGGCGAGTATATGCACGTGGCACACATGCAGGGGGGGAGTGGGTGGTGGTACTGTGGGGTTTTCTTTTAGGAAGATTGACAGTCACTCGATCTTACATGATGGGGACCCCTGTCTTTAATTTGGGATCGTTTCGGCTTCGCTTGGCTCTACCTGGAAGACAAGTCTCAATCCTACACCACACAACCACACCAACGCCAAGCTGCACTTTAGCTCGAAGCCGTCGGTTCTTTTTTTACTCGTACGGAGTATTTACTATTTAGAATATTGAAGGCAGATAGGGATTAGCCGATTAGGGACAAATTCTT